AGTGTGGTTACTCAGCTGGTAATATTAAAGTATTCTACAGTGTTTTATTTTTTTAAATAATTTGCAAGATTATTTTTAAAAGAATTAAAAAAGAAATACAAAATAAAAAAACTTGTCCTTAGTTGCACAAAATCTCACAGTCTAGTCATTACATTTTTTAATAGTCAAAAGGCGCTGAAATTATTTAAAATCAGAGACCTTGAAGCACTTATTCTTTGAAATAACTCGTGCTGCGCCACTCATTTTTTAAACTTGAATTCGTGCTTTACGTCTGGTCTTATATAACTAGTTTTTTAATATACTATTGTCGTCTTATCAGTTTCTTATAACTGTTGTGTCTTGTTTCACTTATTGTAGAAATATATTTGTTCTTGTTTAAGTCATCTTCAGTTTTTGCCTTTCGAAATAACTTTAATCAAAATTTTACTACAAGACTTTACTTATAGAGATATATTCTTGCGTAGAATGTTTTAGAATTAAGTACGATATTTGATACAATATTGGTTTTTAATTAATCACTTTTAGAAATTATTTAAAAAATTAAAAATCTCATGTTTTCTTGCTCAATTTTCTATAAATGAATTTCTTCACCAGTTTTTATGTCAGTGTTTGGTATTTGCACTCGTAGTTTTCTTCATTCTCACTAAAATCGCTGTTGCATAGCTCACTCTCCTTGACTCCAATTCGATCCAAAGTCGAAGTATGATGAATTTACCTACCCATCAATTATCGCACCACTTTGCTGCACCCTCCCGAAGGCGCCTCCGCGTAATTCGGGTGGTGGTGCCAATTAAATGTCCGAAAAAAGCGTGAATCCCACAATTAGTATTCAAGAAAATCCAACGTTTAACGTCCGTGTTGGTCATAAATCAGTCGGGCGATCGAGTGGCGAGGAGCACACGGTGTAATACCAACCTTACATGGAGCAAGTATCTCAGGTCTCCACGGTTGGCTAACCTGCAACGTGCTTACAAATTGTGTCCGCTCGCTTTATGCATACATGAACTATTGTTTATTATTTTTTCGTCCTTCCTCTCCTCTCCAACGTCCAAAAACGTTTTCCTTCTCTCCGACTCCAATATGAATTATCGCCGTATACTTAGCTCATATCCCGTGGAAACTCCCAGTATCTATAATCAGAATGCCTTGTAATCAGTAAGATGTCTTATTAACGACGATTCGTGATCGATGATTTTTTTAAATACGACGAACGAGTTTAAATTACACGCAGAGGAAGTGGGAACGACAAACACATATCGCAATTATGGCGATATGTGAAAGGCAAACGGGATGGATTCACATCATTTGTACAACATATGCTTAAAGCGTTACAACCAATCAAAATATCAATTATGGCAATTATTGATCTCGAATCAATAGCTCGATTTAGCAACTGTTGAAATTACAATACTTACGCTATTAAACATATACGGAAAGACTCTTTGTACAATGTAAAACTGTTGACAAAAATTAAAAATCCATCGTATGTTGCAGCTTAATAAAGCTATTAAAGTACTCATTTCAGCATCTAATCATTTTTTTTTCAAGGATGGTAGCGGCGTCAATGACCGCAAACGTCAAGACAACACAACATTTTTTTAAAATCAAAAAAATATTTTAAATTCTTTAAATTTTTAACTCTATTTAAATTTCCGCTTTGCTTTGCAACAAAGGTGTACGTTTCTACACGTTTTTTCTTCTTTCTTGATGCAAACAGAACACGAGAGCAACACATCTCGTATTTTTCGGAAATCTCGTCTTTCATCTATGTTATGACTTAACATCTGCGATAACAGCACAAAGAGGCTAAAATAAGCGAGTAAATGGTGACGTTAAACCCTGGAAATCAAGTGCCGTATGTCGACACAATATACACACTCATCGGCGTGCTTAGGAAAAGCCGGAGAGATGTTTCCACATACACGACGAGCTTTTGTCGCGCTGCTCATCTCGATTATGACGATAATGGTGATGATTACGGCTTAAATACGCAACGTCAACTAATCAATTACGCACATATACGAAAATTAATTCGTTTATTAGCTCTTGAAACAGGGAAATATGAGTCCATTTATAAGCAAAAATAATTTTTTTCAAAATTATCGACATTTTCGTTGTGGTCGACGTTTTAATTCGTTGGCATTTTGATTTCCAACCTTTTTGTCGACATTTATGTTTAATAGATTTGACATTCATGGCTTTAAACACTCATCGTTTACTTAATTTATATAAAATACAAAAACATGGTTTAAATGAAATTACAAAGTAATGAATGTACCTAATACTTTTTGGAAAATACTCGTATTGCAACAAATCCGGACACAGAAGTTAATTAAAGAAATTTTTTTAAAGATAAGTGGTGCAACATTTGTAATTAATACGAGTATCTAGTAATACAATTGATCTTTATTAGTGTTATTACCTTGGGTTGTTTATTATGGGTGTGCATTCGTATGTAAATAAAACAAAAATATTGAAATCTCAAGTAATATATTTTGAAATTTGTAACTTTCACTTATTTTAAGAACAATGATTGTTATTGTTAGTGCATGTATTAGCAAATATCTTATTTTATTGTTGTAATTGCTCCACCTTAATAACATTAAAATAAATAAAATTTTCACTTTAATCCTTATCACAAAATTTAAAATCTAACTATTATTAAATTTATATTAGCAGAAAAATTAAGTTTTTAAAATCTTACCTAAAAGGTGAAACAAATTCTAGATTAAATCTAGATGGATTAAAGTTTATTTTTTTTAATTAACTATTTTGTTTCACTCAGTTTAAACCCAACTGTTCACGACTTAAGGAATTACTGAATTATTTTGAAATGATTCTTTCATGTTCATGTTTATGTTGAAAAAGTATTATTTTATTGCAAGGTATACTTAAATTTCTCGTCAGTTTTCTTTCCTCACGATATGTGAGTTTGTTCGTCGTCCGGACACCCTCCTCTGCATTCCATTCGCGATAACTTTTGTTTTGGTAACCTGATGATTTTGAGGGAGTCGTGGGACCAGTCCTTGTCGGATTTTGGCATTCTGGCATCAAAAGCAGCATCTAATTACGCGTCAAAGCCTCCCGGTCAAAATAAGTATCATCACCGCGGGCCCCGCCATGGGAAAGTCTTTCTCGTTATTTTCGGTGTACAATGCTACAATATCGCATCCATAAACCAACGCAATTCACATGAACACCTCCGTAATTACACGCAGAGTAGATCTCGGCAAGTAACACAAAGTGCCAGTTACGTTACGCTACCTGTAATTATCCATTAAAAGTACAAATAGTTAGTTAACCTTAGATTTAACGGACATGTAGGCATCACATGATGCAGGCGGTCTTGCACCATTAGAATCTTCAGCTTCACGCTCTATTTGGCCGGTTTTGTCCGCAAGAGTCGATGACTTTCTAATAAGGCACGCAAAGAGATTAATTAAAATAGGATTATGATAATTCGGCGGAAAAATTCATCGATTATCACATAAGCGGAACTCTTGGGCCTTCCTGAAGAAAACGGAACGGGCATGCACGAGGTGCCAGTCGAAACCTAGCACGGGCCATGATAATTGCATGCTTTAAACAAATTTAGTCGGCAGGTTAATTTGTATGAGACGTAAACGGATCCACTCATCTGACTATTGTTAAACCGCAACGGTTCTGTCTCTCTCCGGAGTGATACAGTAGTAAGAACAGGAAGAGGATAGCTGCGAGTTTCTTGATGCCGAGTAATTTACTGCAACCGATCCAAACTCAATGTTTCAACTGATGATGGCGATAACGGGGTGCATATGGGCAAAGTGCATCGAAATTTTACATCGTTCGAGGAAATAGAAACAACCCATTGATTGATTCGTTGTACAAAGACAATAATGCCTTTGATGAAATTGATGACAATACTAAAGTAATAAGAAAATAAATATTTTTTAAATGAAATTAAAGTTTTTAAATTAATTGGCTTTGTGTTTTTTTATTTATTTAAGAGCAATTGAATTAAATTTTCAAAAAATGTTTTGATTAACAACTCTTAATAAGTGAATTAGTCATTACGCTGGCTCTATTATTTGACCAAATCTTTCGATCTATTGAAATTTATTTCAGCTTTTCTAAATGAAAATGAGATTATAAAAACAGCCACAATTTGCAAAAATTAATTTATTTTGTACTGAATGTAAAAGATCGTCTAGTATATAAAGTGGATTTTTATCTACCTTTAATATTCAAAACCAATAAGACGACCATCAGAAGACACAAGAAATTTTATTATATTATGGTTATAATAGTAACGATGTTTATTTAAATTTGGTGTCATAGTTGGCGGTGATATGAGTGTGTTGTGAACCAACACATACGCCCGGCGAGGTGTCAAATGTCAGATAATGCAATGGTTCGTTCACAATCAAACTTTCATCGAAGCTTTGACGCCAAATTTTAAAAAACACCCGTTACAATTAGAAAATGGTACAAAATAAAATATTATACAAAACGATAAAGATTGTGAAAAAAGTCCAACGATAAAGATCGTGAACCATTTTACTCGTAGATAGATTGTCTTGTAATATAAATAACCACCTCATAAATTCTAAAATTGTAGTGAAGAAACTGGGACTTTAAATTTTTAATCAGGTTGTTTGTTAATTATTATTTATTTTTTTTATTAAGCTAGTTTTATTAATCTCAAATTAAACTACGTTCAATTAAAAAAACAAAATTTTATTTAAATAGTAAACTAGTCAGGTTATCTGAAGCGAAGCTAAATAACATTTCATCCAGAACATAGCCAAAATGTTTGAGTAGTGAAAAAAGTCGAGATATATTTGCACCTATGGTTAACCAGAAATTTAGTTAAGAGACGTATTTTTGTAAAATTATATAAAACTAGTTTTTAAAATTGAGAACTAGTCTCCCGAAACATATTCGTACATTTTAAGAAGCAATTTATTAAAAAATCCCAAGTGTGACATTTTTTATTTTAATATAATTTTTTTCGGTTTCAGCCATAGTTTTTGAAAAAGTCATCTAAGCCTCCACCTCCTCAATGCCAGGTGAGTAATTAAACATTTGCTCGTTTTTATTTTGTTCATAAATTTTCTCTCGAACAGAATTTGATCTCTTTTCGACAATTTTTTTTTAATTTTATTTTCAAGCATCTTACACATTCGTTGTAAACTGCCAAGAATCTCTATTTGGAGTCGAAGAGAACCTTCAGGTGAGAGCATGGAGTGCGTGTATATAACATACGAACTTCACCTCTCTCACAATCGTCGCTCTTTGTCCATCTCCTTCACCCTCGCACCCTGTCTTTCTTTGTCTTATTTGTTCCGGGGGCCTTCCCGGAGCCATACGCTATTACCGCTGTCTTTCTGAATAATGGATTGCATTTCTCTAAACGTTCTTGTTGTGTTAGCGTTTCGGACTGTTATTTGTATAAAGTACACGACGTATACGTATGCCAAATATCGTTCCAACACAATGGGGCCGGCCATTGTTCCGCATCGACTTTTAACAAATTTTAATGAAATAGAAAACCATTTTTGAGCTGCAATTTCTGCGTCTACTCTATATTTTGGGTAAATCTTTCACTCATATATACAGAACAGCCCACTTCAACTCGTCAGTTAAGATTACCCTTCACTATCTTTCACTCGATTAAAAGCTAATCTGATGACTATATTTACGAAGCGAGTCTATCGCTTATTATAACAGGTGGTAAGTTCGAATTAGTTTTTCTGTGGTCGAACAGTATGTGTTAAAGCGTTCGTGGACTATACAACGGCGAGGAATTTCCTAGATACGCCTCTAATTGCATGGATAATTACCAAGAGAGTTGTTAAAGCGATCGACTTGCAATCTGCAAATAAACGTGTATCGACGAATTTTCAGTTTGATTGATGGAGATTGTACCAATAAGGAAGCCAATCCCGTCTCGGACAGCAAACATTTAAAAAACTGTAAATATAATTGAAAAGTCAACTGCAACGTTGCAGGAAAGTAAACGAAGGAATGGACCACTAGAGCGAAGCAGCAGGTGTGTGAAAAATGTTAACTTTTCACAAATTTTTAGTGCGATATTATTTTGTACTTTCCCACGAGTACTTCCACGAAGCTTCATAATTTTATCCTAAACTCCTACTCATTCACAATCAATTTAAAATCGTCTCCAATTTAGCCACTTTTTCTTGTCATTGTAAATGGCCCATTTCACAATATCAAGTTATTTTTGCGTAAACTCCAACAATACGGTCGTGCATAGACTTCTTCCTATTATTCACTTTTATTACAATTTCTGGGAATCGAGCAATATGATCTATTGTTGTTTGGATTCGATTTTGAAGCTGTCTTTACCGTTATTAAATCTCAATATATGTCGTGGACGAGCTGTCATTTTCTATCATTAAACATATTCCGTTCAAGATGTTACTAATGAGAAGTTCATGTATTAGAATCGTTTACAAATATGTTTTGTGTCATTAACGACAAGAATTAATTTATAATTCAAGAAGGAGGAAACGGACTGTGCCGCGAATGCAAACAGACGGTTTATTACACGAACACGAAACGATTTGTACCGAATAATAAAAATGCAATTAAGGACTCGTAATCAATTTAAATTTTTAAGGATTATTACGGTGAGGAGATCGTCTGGATGATTACAACACATACTTTTAAGTCTTGTGCCCTCAGAAATTAAAAACAAATGCCAGTTTAAACCGAATTGCAAAATCACTATTTAGAAGCTAAATTAATAATCTCACGTTTTATGCTATTGAGATTTGTTGTTATCGAACTAATATTTGCATAAAATGGTATAAAATTAGCTAAACAGCACTTTTAGATAGAATCTAACCCTTTATTTTGTTTCTTTATTACAACAGTTATTATTACGGTTAATCAAAAATGGTTTTCAAAGGAAAAGTAAAGGTCAAAATGCAAAATTTTTAACTAAAAAAGTTACTTTACTATAAAAATATAAGTAGTTATTTATTTAACCATTTTGATTACAAATTAAAAGTTATCACTGGTTGTATATACTAAATCCAAATCACACGATTATTCATTTTTAATTTCCTACTTCAGGGGGGCTACAAAGGGTATCCATGAGAAAATTGTTTGCACAATTAGTGGTTGTTACCTTCTTACAGAAGTTGTCAAAAATTACAAATTACAAATTGTTAACATTACGACGAACAACGAATGTACGACATTAAAAAACTTTAGACAATTGTTAATTAATGTTTTACTAATACAGTACTACAATTTGTACCAAACACTTGTTATAAATAAATATGTAATATCACCAATCACATAGACAACATAGATCACCAAGATATTTTGGTCTGCTAGAAGGTCTAAAATTTAGAGACTCGATGTGTGTCTAATTTATTTGAAATTGAATGATTTTCTAAATTTTATAATTGGCATTTCGTTTTATTCTATGAATTTACTTTGAAACATAATTAACTAAGATATTAACCTTTTTGTTAAAAGTGAATGTATTTTTTTTTAATTTTTATACACTATTACATGTAGTTTAAATCGTCTTACAGTGTTTTTCTTTTGGTTTTTCTCTTTTGTCATATTTCACTATTACTCAAAAGTACTCAAAACTATTTCATTTGATATAATTAATGTCAAAGCGACGTAGGTAGGAAATAGTTTTGAGAAATAGTAAAATACATTTGACAAAAGAGAAAACCCAAAGGAAAAACACTGTAATTTAATAATTTTTGTGATCTTGACATTAAGTTAGTACAGTTCAGGTCAGGTTAGGCGTTTTTCGTTGTATAGGTTGTTTTTGAAAACTCGCGTCCTAGAAAAAAATGCCACGTAAAATAAGGGACCAGAAATATGGAAAAAATGTTTAAAAATTTGTATCGGTCAAAAAATTTTGGGATAAATTTTTTGACATTTAACCTTCTTTATATCCATTTAATGTTACCGATGATCTGGTATACCTATGTTTTTACATAATTAGGTACTCAGTGAAAGTACAAAAACTTTGTCAATAAAAAAGCACAAATAACATTAAATATAGCACTTCTTTGTTTTCTCTTCTAATAGTCTACAGCAAGAAACATGCAAAATAATTTTTCCAATAGAAACAAATAGAGTCAAAATGCAAAATTCGAAATTTTTATTGATAGAATTTCTTTGACATTTTTTCTACATATATTCCTGTTTTTGACCTTACTTGTCATTTTTCTCTGGAGCGCGAGTTCTGAAACATCCTGTATGTTTACAATTATTTGTTATTCAAAAAAAAGCAACAAATATTGCATCTTGATAAAAAAATGACCATTTAAAACTGCGTTGGACTAAAATGAAGGGTTACAAGCATTGCCAGTGGTTTTTGTAAAGTGATGTTGCTTGTTGCAGTTATTTTAACATAACAATGTCGTAAAGTTGCGCAAACTGCAAAATATAAAGTTTATTGCACATTCATACAAAAGAGATTACTCACCCTACAAAACTTGCCACAACCTGAAATCTTTGTTTTTATCTGGAAAAAAATTTACATATTTTATTAATTATAAAAATTTTATAATTAAGATTAACTTGAAAAATAAAACAGAGGAAATTTTATTTTATGGTACTCTAAAATTTGACAATTTTTCAATTCACAAATTTTTCGTTTTTAATAATCTGAATCTTTAAATTTAGTAAATGTTACAAAAAGAGTACAAGTTCATAAAAGACGGAGTTTTTTAGGAGTTAATTCATATCTACGAGCGCAAACCATATACTCCTAAAAAAAGCTCTCGTCTCATTCGAGGCCCATCCGTGCGTATCATTACCCCTTCCTTCCACACTCGAAAAAAGACTCCAAAACGTTGATGTCATCCGCCACCAATTAGGCCCACCTTCACCCCGCCGCTCCATCTCACTCCATCTTTCCTCCGGGTGATCGGCGAAGAAGACGAACGGAACAGCTGGAGCGGTAAATGATCGTCACACATCACAGCATCGTGTATATGACCATCATACGCGTCTTTAACCACCCATCCATGACCGAAATCTGGTCGGCCGTGGATCGGGATGAAGATTTTTTCTTTTGCACCTGGCCGAAGCCGAGCGAGAAGGACACCTTGCGCAATATGAGCGATACGGCCCTGTGGAGACAGGTGAACATACAGGTGTCTAAAGCCGCAATAGGGATGCATCTTAATGAAATATTACGAGGAGTTCTCAGATGAGCCACCCTGTATCTAGTGCGACCGCGGAAGCGGGTTATAAAAATGGAAAAATAGTCTCGCGTGACTGTCGCTTAAGATTAACCTTTTGATCGGTTCGAATATGTCTTAATCAGAAGAAACGCCTAATTTATAATCCACACATAAGTATCGCAGATCGTCATCGCTGGATAAGATTTTCTACACACTTTTTGCTACACATCTTATATAGGTGTGCATACAAGAATAATGGGAAATCGCGAAGCGTGAACCACGCCGCACGTCATTCCATGTCCGCGATTTTTATTTTTCAACATGCCTTCTCATGCGTTTAGTTAACTTATTCTGTGCGCTATTGCTGTTTTCGTACGAGGTTTGGCTTCAATAAGCGCGATTTTTTCAAGTTTTTCAACAAATAAGGATGATGTCAGCACTTTTATGACACTTGTTTGAAGAGTACTAATTTTAAAAAGTCTTTTTATATTACTTTCTTAAAGAAATTACAGCCTTAATAAATTTTTGATTTGTGTTTTTAACATAGACCAGAAAATTGATTTATTTGTTACTTAATAATTTAGCAACAAGCATCTACTAATGTTTCTTAATAAATATTAATATTGCTGTAGCCGAGTGACAAGATTGCATATTAAAATATAAATCTTCTCTTGTGTTGGATATCTATACCTAGCAGTAGTCGATTGTGTGGTAATTAGAAAATTATGCAAGCATAAACATTACGATCAAGTTGTTTTGTATTTTATTGAATAATTTTATAAAGATTTAATAGGTACTAATATCTATTTTGTTTGATATTAATTTAGTTTAGAAATTATGAAATAATCTATGAAGAAGAAGAATTATAATAAAAAAATTCG